ATTGACGATGAGTAGTTGAATTAAACAATTTATGTTGTTAGATTATATCAATGATATATTAACTCAAGCTATTAGTGCGCTTGACATATATCCCATATATTTATTTATGGATAAAGCACGTATTCATTGTAAACAAAAAACCTTAGACATATTTCGTCGAAGACAATGTGAGCAAACAATAGATATTCAACTACTACCAACAAACTCTGCAAAAAGAATTAGTCCTTTTGATAATTCATTTTTTTCTGAATTTAAAAACAAAGTTCGACAACATTCACCTTTATCAGAAAGTAACATTAAAATAGCAATGATCAATTCATATTATGCAATATCCAAACAACATATTAATAATTATTATCATCATTGAGGGTTCATGCGTGGAGTAGTCCTGTTCCCTTTGGTTATCTTCTTTTCGCTATACTGCGAAGGAATATGCTTTAAATCCGCTGAACCGCGTTAGATTATAACGCGTTTAGCAGCAGCATCTACGAAATGCTGTCAAACGCGTTCAGCTGCGTTAAATTTTATCGAATTACAATGCGAAATGCGTTAGTTAGTAAATGCACCTAAACGCATTTGTTTCTGTTGCGTTCAAATGCGTTTGGGAGACATTAACGCGTCCAAACGCGCTTAACTTGAATGCGTCCGAACGTGTTAGTCATTTGAACGCGGTAAAATGAGTTTATTTTCACAGCGGTTTGGCGCGTCAGTTTCTGACACACCCAAACATGTTTCATCCTAACGTATTTAAACGCATTTATCACCGAGTAACGCGTCCAAACGCGTTTCAGTTGTAAGAAAACGCGTTCAGACACCTTTTTAGTGCAAAAAAACGCGTTTAGCAGTGCGTTTGGTCTAAAAAAATGTCTGCCTGGGCAGGTTTAGCTAAAACACACCTCAGCTATTTAAAAATTGAATTCGAATCCGAAATAAAACGTTAAAGTAGCAGAAAATGTTCTACGGATGAATTACGCTTTGTCCCGCAGAACGCAAATAGTTAGAACTATTTTTCTCATTAAGAAAAAAATTCATGATAAAGTGATAACTAATAATAAATTATCTCTCGATATTCTCGCCTTCGTATATCCTGTAATGTATCCTCTGACAATAGCTTATCATTAAAAATTGTCACACGAAGTTTAAAGTCTCATACCTATCTGTGATCTGATTTTTTTGCCTCATTTATACGTGATTTATTTATGTTATTTGTTGACGTTCTTTAACTTTAGATTCACGATTCTATTATGTTTGTTAGTTTTGTCAAAATCATGGAAGAGATCATGATGAAAAGCATTTAATACATCTCGGTTCGTTTATGTTATTGAAAAACACGATTTAGAGCTCAGAAATTGTACATACCGTACAATAAAGTAGTGTTCTAGTAAGTCGAACTGTAGGCAGAGTTTGAACAAAATATCAATGTATTTACTAACTGATGATGTACACGTTGTGTAATACAGTGTAATACAGTTATCAAGTACAAACAGCATATCATTAAAAAGCTTGTCAACCGGGATCAAATCGCTCACCGAATGTTTTTTCCTATAAATTATCGTTGAATATGGAGTTCAAATGATATCGTGTGAATATATCACGATTAAAACTTACTTTTTAATGACTGAATCCCTATATAATAATAGGTGGCGTAGCGTAAGCTTCAGAATGGTAACATGTGCAAGGTACACTTCTCTGAGGTTTCAAAATAACCACAAACTTCAAGTTTGTTTTTAATTGAACCAGGCATCTAGATCTACAAATGGGCATAGACCATCGTTTAACTTCCATTCCCTTCTGACATACATTCTGAGATAAAGTTCAAAAGGTGACTTTATAGAGCTTTTAGAGATTTATGTTTTGCAGGAATTGGTCCGAAATAGAGACCTGCAACGCGACTCGAACCCGATCCTACCCTATGGTCGAATCGGGTTCGGGTTGAACCCTTTTGCGGCAAAAATCAAAATATAGGTAATAATTTCAATAAGAAATTTCTATAATTGTTACTAAAGACAATATCTCATTGTTTATCAAAAGTCATGATGTTTGTACATTGCGTAAAAAGTCATTCAAGAATTATTTATCAACTACGTGTAAATGTTTGGAATACAGAGAATGCCTAACCTGGGATTATCAATTGAAAGTAAAACAATATGCGAATGATAATCATGAAGAATTTTATTTCTCATCACATGAACAACATATTGATACAAATCGTCTTTCCTCCCCTGTACGGTATAATATTCGTCCAAAAGAAGCGAGACAAGCTTTAGCAAAAGACTACTGACGAATTCATTAACCCATTAACTATTTTTATTTTTTCATTACAGATGAACAGATGAAGCTAAACATTCGCTGGAATACTAGTGTGAACTAGATAGAAAGTGAAGACACCTTCTATACTACTATTCCAAGATCTAAAGCTTTTTCTTCTTAAACTAGCTTAATCAGATCTTGTTCCTTGATCTAATCAATGATTTTAGCATAAAAAATTTATTTTTCGTAATCGAGATCTTTTACCTACTTTTTCTTGAAATTTTGTCCATCAGGATCGAAAGTATATTATTTCCATGATCTCTTAAATTCAGGTCCAATTTTAAATGGCAGACGAGTATATTCAATATAATAACAACAGCAAAAAAAGATCATGATAAAAGAAAAGTAAACTAACAATAAAACAACAGCAGTAAAACTGACAAATATAATAGAATCGTGAATCTAAAGTTAAAGAACGTCAACAAATAACATAAATAAATCACGTATAAATGAGACAAAAAAATCAGATCACAGATAGGTATGAGACTTTAAACTTCGTGTGACAATTTTTAATGATAAGCTATTGTCAGAGGATACATTACAGGATATACGAAGGCGAGAATATCGAGAAATAATTAGTAGATCGTTTTTGGAGATATACAACAAAGACTGTTTGGTGTAACAAATTCCTATGAACTACTTGACTATACATTTCATAAAATATACTACAAGGGAAAAGGTGGTCGTGGTTCTGATTCTTCTTAAAATTAAGAAAGAAAAACCAATGGTCACCGGGTAAATGTTGTATATATATATAATATATAGAGAGAACTAAGATCCGTTTAACAATAAAACCACGAGGACGACATCAAATAATGTTTTTCAACAATAGAATATATATTTGAATTGAACAAACGTATCGTTTGTTACCACTTTCACGTCTTCTCTTATGCACAGCATCAGATGTTCTTGCCATAATATAAAATTAAATTCATATTCATCGCCCTGTAACAAATGAGAAGTTAGCTAAGATCAATTGAACATCATTTATCTGAAATAACTTACTTAATTTTGTTAATATGTTGAATGTTGACATAGAGGGACAAGTTTCATAATCAATAATATCTATATATTGATTTTGATCACATTGGGCTTTCAATAAATCACAATAACTTTTGTATAGAAAATAATCATCACCACATACAGGAACTTGCATATTACATTCGCCACCTTTGAAAAATCGTGATGGAAACTTACAACGAATGCATATAGGTCGAAATTTATTCGATAATATGCAACGTTCGTGTTTACCACATAGATGTGGATGACATCTGGATGCTAAACAATAGTGAACATAAAGTTACACGAGAAACCCATATAAATTTTCAATGACTTTTGCCTACCACATTGTCCTTTGTGAGCTACACTAGGAATCTTTCCATAAATATTCGGTGATAAGCGCATTGCACACAAATTTTTGTAAGTAATACCATCTGTACCGCAAATCTGCTCTTTGTCATGTAAATCGCAATGTTGTATAGGATAGCAGAAGGGCTCGCCAGTATTTTTAACTAACATACAGATGGTATCTAATGGACATTTCACATTTCTACAATTTTCTAGAAAAAACGTTAATGATAAATTTTTAAATTAGTCTCAAAATGAATGTTCACAACTCACTTTGACATTCTCCATCATATTTTTTATATAATGCTGAATATTCATTTTCACATTTCCATACTTCCATTGCACATTCAGATTTGAATGTGAGATTATTCGATGCACATAATGGTTGTGATTTGTCAGAAAGATCATTACAATTATCTTTACATACACATTGGTCTTCATCATAAATTGTACGACACTCTCGTCCTACACCACACTCCAGATCACAAGGCTTTTCTATTACTAAAAGAAAGATAAGGATTTTTACTAGATCCAAGACAGATTAATATACTTAGTACTGAAGTCTTTGAAAGGCGGGAATATTCCGCATATATCTGATATCCTTATGTTTGATTTATTGTACTAATCGGAATTTTTTTAAGACTACAATATCATCGTGAGTAGAGGTCATCTGTAGAAATAATCTAGATCAATCGATTTCTTACACAATAGATTTAGATAAATGTGCCTTTTATTATATCTGACTAAAACGTCTAAATGCCCCGCAAACCTAGGAGAAACTTCTTAAGTTGGAGTGAGCTCTATGCCGCAATCGCAATACTTGAAGTTGATCCAGTCATGATACATTGAGACTGATCAGAATAAGGTAGTTTCATATGTGCAACTCCGTAATTCAAGATAAAATTTCCTGCGAGATTTGAGACCGTAGAGCCTTATGCGGTTTAAATTTCTATTAAGCTGAACTTTCTCTGCTTGAAACATTCTGACTCTTCCTAATTTGCTTATGCTGCTGTCGGTTAAGACGAAAACGCGCAATTATTTATCCTTCTTTTATTCTTCAACGAAGAGATGAGTTTAAGAGTATCCCTCTCCTCTTTTAGAGTTCTTCGTAGAAATGCTGTGAAAAGGAAACAAAAAATGATCAACGCTTGATACTTCGAAGGTACATTAGAAACTCTTTTCTGCATCTTTCGCTTTTGTCGCCACTCTTCAGCTGTCGTCCTTCACGATATTTCTAGAAAAATCTGTTCTCCAGTCCGGTACATTACGATCCCTCGAAAAGGTCATCCGATCGGTCTGAAAATGTTATCAGAGGTATATAACAGTACTTCCTAGGTGGCACTATTTTTATTTCTTTTTATCTCTTTTCTTTTCCGAGTTATAACGAAAATACTGAAAAACCACTCAAAACTCCAGTTTTTCAATTTTCAAAACCATATAACCCGGAAAGGAAAACAGAACTGCCACCTGGGAAGTGCTGTTATATACCACTGATAAAATTTTCAACCCTGTCGGATGAGTTTTTCGAGGGATCGGAACGTACCAAACCGACATGCGAGACAAAAAAATATATTTTAAGAAAAACGCAATCAAAGTCAGTGTTTAAAACTCTAGCAGAAAAATAACAACGATGACCAAATAATAGGAGCTCTATCGAACATCAACCATCGCGATTTTAATGAATATGAAGTTTCAAGCACGTTCATTAAAATCGCGATGGTCGATTAGCTAGCTCAGCTTATTTCTTGTAAATCATTCCTTTTCTAAAACTTTATTCTACGGACAGAAAACACAGATAGATCTGCTTTTTGCACAAATCAAAGGAAGCTCAAAGCAACTCCTGTTTGTTCTGATTTTGTGTCCGCATGGGAGAGCAAAGTTCACACTCTGTATTTTCATGAAAAAAAAATTCTGTTTTCTTCGTGGAAAATGAGCTGTTACCATTAAGACCTTTCGATTAGAGATACATATTTGGTTGTCCATGTCATCAAATTAAATAGAAAACAAAACTTAAAAAAAGATTGATTGACAACGACTGTAAGTTATCTCAAGAACGCAGAAAATGTTCTAATAAAATTACTTTATTCTAATGTGAAATAATAAGAACTTAAAATGTTTTCAAATCACGTCAACAAGAAAATAAGCTTTATCAAGTAAAATCCAATGAAATAGAGTGAGCTTCAACAGAAAATCTTGCATAAATAAATATCATCTTCAGTAAAGCATGAAAAACTTAGAAACATTTTTATTCATAATCCAAAATATATTGGTTATAGGCTTAAATTAGTACTAATTTATGAAGTAATGATTAAAGTCGAGCAGTGCTTGGGAACTATAAAACAAGTGATTTTGGAGAAATTTACTGAAGAAAAGTATGTCTGTACATCCTAGTGAAAATAACTGCGTAGGATACTGGTAAGACAAAGAGGAAACGGTCTATATTTTTGTTCATAATGTAATGATTACAGCAACTCTGGTACGAGATAAAGTTAGCGAGGGTTAAATAGATGATGGGTTTAACAATAATAACCCAAACCATTTAAATAGAATCCTTTTTCCACATGTAAATCAGAAACAAAATAATTACCTGTAACTTCTCTGCAATTCTCGGCGAATGCATAACCGTCTAAATCTTTGAGATCATCCTCTGAGTAAAATTGTCCACTACATTGATCTTCCGATGTGTCAGCTTCACTGACTCCGAAACACATGTCATTTAAACGATGATAGAAACAGTTGCCAGCTAAAAGGAGACGACAAGAACGTTTAAATAGCCTGCTCAAACCTTTACCAGTTTGATAAGATTCAAATTAATTCATCAGATATACCCCATGGTAAGATTAAAACAAATGACACCTATCAGTCACATACCTGACACTGTCTCTCCCGTTTCCCTACTGTTCATTTCATGTTTCAAGGCTTCTCTTGCCAAAAATGGAACATTATGTCGTTTTCCGAACAGCTGGCCAACGAGTAACCTGAACTGGCTCTCTCATCTTCAACCAGCATTACAGAAACCTCTTCCAAAAACTCTGAGATCGATATTAAAAGAAGCCTATCAAATTCTGGTCTAGAACATGCTTTTGAAAATGTTTTTATCAGAAAGTCACTAAAGGGTCAGCGGTGAGGTCGACATTAGTGGTTTCTAAAAAAATGGGACACTTTTATTCAATAACCTGCATAGTTGCTATTAGTTCTAAATATTTGACTAAATAGTACTGTCAAATTGATATCTGTGAGAAAAACCATGCTGTCTGCTATATAGACACCATTTTCACTATACAGAGACCATTTTTGCCTAGTGGGAATTTCAAAAAAAAAATTTCTTGAAAGTTTTCGGTAACATTACACTATTTGAGGAATATTTATTAATATGTTGTATGATGCAGTTTTCCACATCACTAATGTGATGTTATGAGACTCTTGTAATGCCATGCTGTCTGCTATATAGACACATTGGTTTTTCTCACAGATATCAATTTGACAGTACTATTTAGTCAAATATTTAGAACTAATAGCAACTATGCAGGTTATTGAATAAAAGTGTCCCATTTTTTT